CGTCTCGGATTATAGAGGTGTGCAGGAAAACATTCCCGGCTGACGTTGTTCAGAGGTCATTGAGTGACGGGATGCTGAACAGCTGGAGGAGTGATGAGTCTGAGAGTTCACAGCAGGCTTTGCTTAAGTGAGCTACAGGGTAAAATGACATTCCTCACATTCCCATCTGTCGATTTTTGGTCTATGTATTTAAAAACCTTTACTTACACACCTATCTCGGTGCCAGGCTATGGGAAGACTAGACGGCTCAACCTCATATTGAAGATTTGCTGACATATTTTCTGTCGCCGCATTGCGCCGGGTGTATGAGAGGGCCCCTTAAATATGGGCGTAGATAACTGGGCTTAAATGGAGGTTTGATATTATATGTACACATTGCCTTCTTCGATAAGTTGTTTTCAGCCCCTCAGAGTGCATGGGTGGACATAAAACAATGGTAGCTCCAAGATCAAACTACCTCGAATTTAATCCTATCCTGTTTTCAATATAAAGCAGCGAAGATTTTTAAATATATTTTTATGGGTGAATACATTTTTGAGTGAATTATCTCTTTTGTGATGGTCTATTTCAGTTAATAATAAAGTCAATATATCAAAATCACCAGGCCAAGCAATTTTTGTGTGCCATTTCACAACAGCTTAACACTTATCCCAGCTCCCTGTTGTTATTTTTTTTTTTTAAAGAGATTAAAAAGAGATGCTGGGAAAGTAAACTGTGCTACTTTGGTTGCAAACAAGCCTCAAACAGTGTTTTTTTTTTTTTTTTGCTTTGAAACACTAGATGCTTTATTTTTTTCTGCATTTTTTTAAAACCTTTGTCAGAGTGAGCATTAGTCAGTGGATTAAATGGCTAGTTGGCATCTTGTCTCTGGAGTAGTTTTATGTCTGAGAACCTCATTGCACCTGCCTGGAATACCAATCCATAGTCTAGTATTCACCATAGACAGACTTTAACTCTCGGATGAAAAGAGGAAGAAGGCCTCCCTGAACAATTCAAACAAACGTCACAGAGGTATTTCACATTTTCAAGGGTCGACTACCAATGGTTTGTAGGAAAAACTGTTTTTAAGTTCTACATTGACATTAATAACGTTTTAGTTTAGCTTTAAGTTTCATGTTTTCACCTCATTTTCATTAGATTGCAACCAGAACAGGCATGGAACAGTCTTAAAATAAATGCAATAATGAGATACAATTCGTGGCTTGGGGTAATTATGGCTTCTTTGGCATTATATGCGGTTTTGGGTTAGATTTGGCAAAGGTACTTTAAACCAGAAGTTTTGGGGGATTTACAAGAAAATAACTGGAGCAAATAAAACTTGGAGGCTTGGAGAAAAAACAAAATAGACTTTTTTCCTATATTGCAAACATTACTGAAAAAACATTCAGATTCTTTAAGGCTAAATAATATATATTCTAGAAGGCCCTTAAAGGCACAATATGTAGGGTTTTTTCGCCACAAGAGGGCGCAGTTTCCAACAATAACAAAGGCGTAGGTTATGACGCAGTGATGAGCTGAATGATGGGACTTGTTGTCAAGCTGATGGATCTAATAATGTTTATGGACGAGTGCAAACATTCATGTTTTTTAACATTACAGTAGTATGAAGCAGGTCGCGATTGCTAAAGAGACAGATATCACACACGAGATATTCACTTGGTCTAACGTTACACTATCACACTAAACGGCATTTAAATGTGTGTTGAAAGTTATAATGTTATACTACGTGTTAGTTCGTTTGCTATACGAAACTAGCAGTGAGCTAGATCAACATTAGAATAACATACTGACCATATTCTAACATTTCATCATGTTGAGCTAACGTTATATAACATTGATTTGTTTTATGTACATTTGCTCACCTGTCTAATAAAGCTGTCAAGTCGTGACTCGTGAAGCTCTGTCGAGTCCAAGTTAGTCGCGGACACGGAGCTCTCGGCATCTCAAAAACGCCACGCTGATATTGATCCTCATTTTAGTTCTCCTTGTTTGTCCCAAAGTCTGCTTGCCATGGTCTATGTTTGAAAGAAACAAGAACTGCGTGCCGCTAAACGTTACGCACTACGCAGTTGTCCACGTCTGTCGCCATGGTTACGCCATGGCTATGGCAGTATGAACGGAAACCGAGGATAGCGCGGATATTGCGTCATTGACAGGCGACATCTTTTTCTGGGACGGCCACTTATTTAAAAGTGGAATTTCTCTGAAATAAAAAATCTTTGAGACTTTTGGGATATTTTAAGTACACAACTGCAGGAAATATATCACACTGTGCAAGTGATTTTTGAATATTCTAATACAAAATTCCTACATATTGTACCTTTAAGAAGCAGTCTGAAAATGCAAAAGTGCCAGAAGCAGGTTTCTTCATATGTTTGTGGTCATTTGATTGGTACAGTGCTACTCTTGTGGAGGTTTCACAGATGAACCATCCATTGATTTAACACTAATGGAGGATTAGTAGATTTGTAATCCTCTTCTTAACAGCCTGACACACTTTAGTGTCAGTGCAACTGCTCTCCAGCCCTCAGACCGAGGAGCTTTAAGCTGCTGAAATCCCATTGTGTGCTTGAGTAATGCATTAATGTGTGAAACAGACACTGGCACCCTGATTACAGCTGCTGCTTTAATGTTTAGTCAATCTGTCGAAGAGAAAAATCTGAATGTGAGCGTATAAACTGTTAACTCAGGAAACATTATTTTAGCCACCTGTTGAGTTCTGACAATAAGCAACTTTACACTTATAGCATTTAGCAAGATAAATTGAGCAAGACGTTCCCTGGTGGTTAAAACCCGCAAACTTTCAGATGCACTCCAATATTCTTTCACACATTCATAGCAAGCAACAGTGTGGCTGCATCCGAAATCACATACTTTCTTACTATATAGTAGGCGAAAAATAGTATTAGACAAAAGAAGTATGTCCAAATTCACAGTAAATCATAAAAGAATAGGCAAAAAGTACCCGGATGAGAGTGAGATGGGAGAGGATTTATGAATGGCTGACGCTGGTAGGTCACATAATAATGAGAGCATGGTGGATGTAGTATGTCCGAATCACATTCATACTATATACAACGTTTAGTGGTCGTGAAGTAATAACTTATTCAAAATAAGTGCTTTTTCGGATGCAGCCTTAGACACTGACCATGTGAATGAACAGATGGTCAAATGTTCTTGATGCTCATTGGATTATTTTCAAATCACATGATCATCAGGTGTGTGGAGTTAATGCTGCTCAAATGCTGTTGTCATTAAAGCAAAAGGGGAAATTCTGAAATTCATTCCTCAATTAAATTTTTCACTCAAATTGTCATGCTGATAATACTATTTGTAAGACAGCATATCCAGGTGGAAACCAACTTGGTCAGCTGATAATTTGGCTGATTGGAGCAGCTAATGTCTATAAATGAAATCATGTCAAATCAGCTTTAAGCTGGATTTTCTAGCAAGGTTGCTATTAGTGTTTTGAAAATGACCACCATGACCACGCAGCTCCTCCTACTGTTTGTTCAACTAGGAGCTAATGCTTTGTATTAGCTGTGCAAACTAAGTGTAATTCAGCTGGTAGTGAGGGCGGGGATCTATCGTGTGAGTCAGGGCTCAGGGCCATGCAGCCTTCACGGCCACTTCCAATTCTTTGTCTCTAGTGGTGACATTAAAATGTAATTGGCTTCTGCTTCTTCTGCCAACTGTAGTGGCTCCCCATAACATTATGGGACTTTGGTTGCTCTGAGGAAGTTTGTGAATGTGGTGGCTACAGCAATTCAATCAAAGCTAAATGTCTCACTATATGCTCCCTTCTGGCACTTTGAGTTGTGTGGGGGTTTTGTCCTTACTGCTTTCTATTTCTTAGAGCATTTTGTATTTACTTTTTTATTAATTATAGGGGTTAAAGCAACAGCCTGTTATGAATAAGATCAGCTTTTTTTAAAACATAACATACTGTAACCAAATGGCGTTTACTACCATTAACGGTTTTTGCACATGCATTTTTTAAAATATTTTTTTTAATGATTTTTTTTGTTTAATATTTTTATTGTTAAGGCCAAGTGTTTTAGAGATTTATGCATGTAAGCAAAGCTTTGGCAAGAATAGTTTTAAATGAACTTATTGAAATTACACTCGCTAATAATAAATATTATATTATTATATTATATTATTTTTAAAAAATCACTTTTTTTCAAATATTTAATCAGAACAGAAACTTGTTAAATGTGTCGATCAATGGACTTAAATATCTTGTGCTGTTATAGAGATATGATCTTCATAAAGGCAGTGCTTGAAGACTGAGCTTGCTTGCTTTCAGATTCTTGTCAATGGAGGCATATCCGTCATATATGGGATATGATTATGAGCTGCTGTTTCCCATTATTCAAGTGCAAGTGCACTGTGAAACTGTAGGAGACAAAAACATCTGTCAAAGGGAACAATGGAGTCATCATGCCCATAAATGAATGGAAATAACAGAGTTATGGCTTGAGTTTTGCTGAACAATACGTATTGCTCACAGTTTAATCAAATGGAATAATAAAAGCTTGGTAACCCCTGATCCTCATCCAATCATTACTTCCATGATGGTTCAGGAAAAAGTAAATAAGGCCTGATATACATTATATCTGGGGTTTCAGGCATGACCTGGGCCAGATCATACAGCGGAGGAAATTCATGGGAGATTAGTCTGTGAATATGGCTTTTGCAGGTTGCATGTAAAATACATGCTAGATCTCAACAACACTGCTAGAGAGTCATTTTTTCTAAAGCTATGAAACACTTTCTACCTCAGTCAACATTGCGGGATGGAGCCAAGTGCTTTGCATGTGCAGAAAGACAATGCATTAACTGAGGAAATTATTTGGAAATGAAAGATTGTTTTTCTACAACTTGTCTGTGTTACATAATGGTGTTCTCAGAGTGGTTTGAGTGCAATATCATAGTGTGTTCTTGTCTTTCTCTCTCTCTGCCTTTCCTCTTCATTTTTCTATTTCCCTTCTTCCCAGATTCTGACCTTAGTATGCGAACAGTGAGTACGCCAAGTCCAGCTCTGATATTGCCACCTCATTCATCTTCAGCCGTACTTAATGGCTCCTCTACATCCTCTTCCACGTTCGGCACGGAAACCATCGCCATGGTCCACACGCCACCCACTTCCCTCACCCATCCTCAAAGGGGCCTGCGGCAACCGAGAGACCAGCAGGGGGCGCCCATCGACATCCTCCCTGACCATGCTTTCCTACAGATCTTCACCCACCTGCCCACCAACCAGCTTTGCCGCTGCGCCCGCGTGTGCCGTCGCTGGTACAACTTGGCCTGGGACCCCCGCTTGTGGAGGACTATTCGTCTGACCGGAGACGTGCTACACGTGGACCGCGCGCTTCGGGTTCTTACTCGCAGACTGTGCCAGGACACCCCCAATGTGTGTCTGACCCTGGAGGCGGTGGTGGTCAGTGGCTGTCGGAGGCTGACTGATCGAGGACTGTACACGGTGGCACAGTGCTGTCCAGAACTCCGTCGCTTAGAGGTGGCCGGCTGTTATAACGTGTCCAACGAGGCCGTGTTTGAGGTGGTGTCACGCTGTCCCAACCTGGAACACCTGGATGTTTCAGGTAATTTGTTTTTTTAGTGATGATGTTTGGTTTTATTACTAGTATTTATCTCTCCTAAACTGGTGCTGCTCACACTGAATGCAGTCAGAAGATATTTAATGTTTAATGTACAGTTACAGCAGGATTTTAGACCAATGCGATTTCACATTGAGTGGGGTTACCCAGCTACAAAAACTAAAGAAAGCAACCATCCAAATGGTTAGGACAAAAACTCAGATTTACAACACTGTGATTGTTGTATTTGTATTACCTTAGTTAGGAAAGTGTAAAAGTCACAATAGCGATGAACTTAATTATTGGAAATAAGGCCACGTTGATAATATAAGAAATGTTTTAATTTTATTTATAATGTAATTGCTAGCCTATTTTACATATTTTAATTGTTTCAAATGGTTTTGCTTCAGAACCAGGACTTTACTTTGGACATCAATTGGCATCCCAACACAACACCAAAATTGTTATGTTGTAATTTAACATCACACAATATTACATAAACTACATAGGCCCAACTGTATGCAAAATGATTCAAACTATTCATTACCCTAGACTGAATTTTGAAAATGGACTAATTTTGGTTTCTAAAAGTCTCTTGAACTTCAATGGTCTCATGGCTGCCGCATATCAAATTCAGCTTTGATTTCCCCCTGCTGTCCACAATCCTATCAGAACAGTCCTGTGATATTTGGCATTAAAAGAGTATTTGAGTATTGACTTGACACAATTATATTCAATTTGACCTAATTCTCAACCTAACATGCCAGTAATGTAGCTGTGTTGGTCTACAGACTCTCTAAAAACCCAGAAGGATTTGTATTCAGCTATATAAATGACTTACTGACTCAGAGCCAGACAGCCTGTGCTTCACCTGCTTTGTTGTCCAGCACAGAAGACAGTTGAGTCCTTTTTTTTTTACTCGCAGAGATTACTGAAATGTCCAGAACTTCCTCTTGGAAAAGCTGGAAAAGGTATTAATAGCTCTGGCATTCTGTCTGTGCTCTCTATACTTCCCAAAAGAAACATAAGCCCAAGCAGAACCAGGACCTCTGACTTTAAGGTGCTTTGGGAAAATCTGCTACCCCAATTTAGAGAATCAATCATCAACTGTATTGTGTATAAAATAAATGGCTATTAAGGTATAGATTATTAAATGTTCATAAAATAGCCTTTAGATGAATCTTTGTCCATTTCTCCAGTTTGTTTGCAGTATTGTGTTCTCAGTACATGTTATTAATGACTTTACCTGGCAACATTTTAGCCGGATTTCCTTTGTTTTCTTACAAGTATTACATTTCATAAAGGACCATAACAGAGGTTTACAATTTATATTCAGTGAATATGTCAGAAAATACTCCTCCTCCTCCTCCTCCTCCTCCTCAAGTCCCTTCCCTGGTGTTTTATTTCCAACTTCCTGCACTGCACTTCCTATTCAAGCATGTTGTTGTTTTCCCCGTGTGAGTGCAGGGGTCCGGCTGGAGTCCCTCTGCCGATGGACTCGAGCGCTGCATTCTCACTTACCCCTTTTCCACCAACGCATTTTGAGAGCCGGTTCGGAGCCGGTGCCTGCGCGCGAACCAGTTCTTTGTGTTTCGACAGCCAAAGAACCGGTTCTCGGCCAGGAAAACTGGTTCCAAAGCGGCACCAACTCTTTGCTGGACTAGAACCGTTCTTTTACCACGTCATGCTTACGTCGGGGGCTGGGGGCGGATTTAGATAACATATTTTCTGACATAATATAGGATCGCAAAGCCAGGAGAAACATTTGCAGAAACACGATGTAGTCCGCCATTGTAATTGTTGTGCTTGAAGTTGGCGCAAGCGTTTCTAGTTTTTTTAATTTATTTTTTTATTGAAAACGTTATGTAAGCAAAGGAGAAAACAGTCACAATATAGAACAAATAAATGGAAAGAAAAAAAAAGACACAAGACAGGAGTACATAACTAATCAGAAAAGATTACATATCAAAGGAAAAGATTAAAATACTTACATATTTCAATTGTTTTTAAAGCCTTCTTGGTTCACGAGTTAGAGATAATCCCAAAGTAATGTTGTACTTGCAAGCGTTTCTAGCTAAGATGTATGGCGACGTACACAGTGACGTAATGACGTCGTTCGCTGGGCGCTCTAGTCAGTGGATAAACAAACAGGTTCTGAGAAGGTTCGCAAGTTGAACCAACTTCGAACCAACTTTGAACCAGCACCAGTTCCGAACCAGTTCGTTTTTGGTGGAAAAGGGGTAACCGTGCTCCTAAAGGACCCATGGGGAGATCCCATCCCCCACTCCTCCTGATATGACTCAGTTTATATGTCTCTCCAAGGTTTCAATCAAGCCCTCTGCTGCCATTTTCATGTTCTTCAGATATTCTGCAATAACCTTCAGCTTTAGTTCTACTGTCTGAGGTCTGATGTTGGAGTTTCGTAAGTTAAATCATGGTGACAGAGGTGAAGACTAGACAGCAGAGGAGATACATTTCTTAGATGAAATGTTTTACATCAAGGCTTTCTGTGATTCCTGTAAAAACAGATCTAAAACCAAACATTTGGTATTTCTTTTCATGTGCATCTGACAACATGGAAATGGCTGTCTTTTGGGAGTAGAAATCATCACATGCACATGGTTCTAAAGAGAGATGTTTTCTTTTTCTATAATGGTCAAAACAGTACCTAAATAATTTATCTTCAAAGACATAGTTTAAAGCTGAAATGTGTAATTTTTCTTAAAATACTTTCTCCTATGGCAGCTTAATATGCAGAGACGGCTATAAGTAAAGAAAGAAAATGGACCACATGTGGTTCTCAAAAAATAAAGCAAAAATAGGGTGCTCCAGAAAGAATATTATATTAGTGGATATCTCCTCGCGAAATACTTTAGGCACATAGATTGTGATATTAAAAGGCCTTTTTATTGTAGACAGACCTAGACTATCCTAAAATTGTAATATGTACTAATACTTAAATGCAGACAACTCAATTATATGATAATATGAATAATATATAGTAATTGTATACAAATATAATTAGTATTTATTGTTATTATTACCAAACAGTAAAATTATCATGAGCGCAATTCCCAAAAAGCACAGATGGGAGTGGCACAAGTTCTGCGCGTGATCTACTAACAACGCACAAAGTAAAGAACACGGACGCAGCCGAATCATTTCCATAATGACCAACGCAATCTACCAAGCTGCAAAAATAACCCTGTCCACGCCTTTTTAGCGAAATTTTTAGTTAACCCTGACAGTAGCTGTTAGTAAACCTGCCCCTTTGGTGACACCAGTAGGGGGCCTACCACAGAAATTACACACTTCATCTTTAAATACAGGTTTTGGTAAAATGCTTCATATCAGGTTCTGAATTCCTACATATTGTGTGTCCAAATGAAGTTTGCTTTGTTTTATACTGTTCATATTCTTTACTGTCTTTGTTCTCTGCAGGGTGCTCTAAGGTAACGTGCATCAGCCTGACTCGGGACGTGTCCGTGAAACTCTCCCCTCTTCATGGCCAGCAGATCTCTATCCGCTATCTTGACATGACTGACTGTTTTGCCTTGGAAGACGAAGGCCTGCACACCATTGCAGCTCACTGCACTCAGCTCACCCACCTCTACCTGCGGCGCTGCGTGCGTCTGACCGACGAGGGCCTGCGCTTCTTGGTCATCTACTGCCCGTCCGTGCGGGAGCTCAGCGTCAGCGACTGCCGCTTCATCAGTGACTTTGGCCTGCGGGAGATTGCTAAACTAGAGGGCCGCCTGCGCTACCTCAGCGTAGCGCACTGCGGCCGCATCACAGACGTGGGCGTGCGCTACGTGGCGAAATACTGCATCAGACTTCGTTACCTGAACGCTCGTGGCTGCGAGGGACTGACGGACCACGGCATTGAGCACCTTGCCAAGAACTGCCTCAAGCTCAAGTCCCTGGACATTGGGAAGTGCCCGCTGGTGTCGGACGCAGGCCTGGAGCAGCTTGCACTAAACTCGTTCAACCTGAAGAGACTGAGTCTGAAGTCGTGCGAGAGCATCACGGGCCGTGGGCTGCAGGTGGTGGCGGCGAACTGCTTCGACCTTCAGCTGCTGAATGTACAGGATTGTGACGTGTCACTGGAGGCGCTGCGCTTTGTCAAACGTCACTGTAAACGCTGCGTCATTGAACATACCAATCCAGCCTTTTTCTGAGGGCTGCACACATGAGATTGCGTGGACTTATTTGAGAAGATAATCTCTTTTGACCCGGCCCGGTGACGTCTCTGCTAGACAACATAGCGGAGATTTGCACTGCTGCACCTCTGTATTTAATTTGCATGGTTGGGAGAAATCTTAACTTTTTAATCCATCTATTTATATTTTTATTCACTTATATAGTTTTTTGATTACTCATCTTGTCTATGTCAGATTGTATTACATCTAACATGTACATTTTCATGAATGCAATTTGTTGATGCATAGAGGATTACATGATGTGACTTTAACCAGACATGAAACTAGTTTGCAGAACTACAGTGGTCCATAATTCAGTTTTTTAGTGTTTACATTTGATATCTCTGTTGTGAATGTTTTGCTTTGTTTCATCATGTAAGCCTTTCTGTCTTGGTTTCAGTGCCGAGTAATATTACCGAACAGTGCCATTTTTGCTGTGACGTTCACCTTTGTAATGGTCAATAAGGCTTGTTTCAGGTGTTTAACAAATGGAAGACCACAGTGGAATAAAGAGGTCTAAGCCATATCAAACAAAATCATGATGTCTACTTTTATCTTGCTAACCTGTAGTAGTCGAAGTCCATGAAAGAAAAAGCACAAAATATGCTATTACAGTGGTTGTCAACCTGTGGGCTGCTACATTCTAGAATTGTACATTCTAATTAGCCATCTTGATTATTGAATTACATTAATATAATATGTGGTCTGCGGAAGATTGTGTGTGTGTGCGCGTGTGTGTGCGTCTACTCATCTTTTGAGGATTGACCACAGGTCACCAATTCTTTATGAAATTATTATTAATTGCCTGGCCACGGATCCAAATTTTCAATGCAATGATCTCCGAGCCACTTCATTATCACTCTCGACTTGTGACATGATGGTCCATCATCCCACGGATCATCACCAGATTGCTCCTGGATCGTTGAGAGATCATTGCTCTTGCAGAACGTTTTGATATCTGTCTTTTGTAATGGCAGTGTTTTTGGGCAGAATTGTATGAGAGCTCACTCCATTGGATGAAAAGAAACCCCACACATGGATGGTCTCAGGATTCTTCACTGTTGGCACGACACAGGACTCATGGTAGCGTTCACCTTTTCTTCTCCGGATAATTGATTTTCCAGATATCTCAGACAGTCGGTAGGGTGCTTCACCAGAGAAAATAACTTTGCACCAGTCTTCTGCTGTCCAACTTCCTGCAGAATTTCAGTCTGTCCTTGATGTTTTTCCTGGAGAGAAGTGGCTTCTTTCCTGTCCTTCTTGACCCCAGGCCGTTGTCCAAAAGTCTTGGCCTCACTGTACTGTGAGTACAGATGCATCACACCCACCTGCTACCAATATTGAGCAGCTCTGCACTGGTGGTGACAGGACTCCATAGCTTTCTGGACACTCTGGGACAACCTGAAGCTTTCATCACTGAAGTTGAACCTCTCTCCTGAAGTTCTTGATGATCCAATAAATGGTTCTTTCAGGTGCAATATTCTTTGCAGCAGTCTCCTTGCATGTGAGGCCATTTTGATTACAAAGCGATGATGGCTGCACGTCTTTCTTTGGAGGTATTGTAAACACAAGAACGCAATGATTTGAATTACTTTCCCCCTCCTTTTATAGCAATCAGTCTGCTCCTATAATCCAATCAGAATGATAAAACCATTACGCCTATGGAATAATCCGCTCACACAATCGTGTGTATTCATTTATTCAATAAGCTTTTTTACATAACAGATGTTATAGTCCACAAGACAAAATAATAGCTGAATGTACAAAAATTAACCAGTTTGAACAAGTTCAAAAGTTTACCGTCTTGATTCTCGCTACTGTGTTGTTACCTGGATGTTCAATGACTGTTTGTATGTTTTGTGATACTTGACAGTTAAACTGCCCTTTGCTCTTCATCCTTCGCTAACTCTTTCCAACAGAGACTGATATTGGAATCTACGAAACTCATACACAACTATTACAAAACAAAAGGTGCAAACATTCAGTGATGCTCCCAGTCACACAATTCTATATTTATAATATGTTATTATTAGCCACGTTTAAGGAAAATATCTGTCGTCTAAAGTAAGTACTATGTAATTTTAAATTTGAGGCATTGTAATTTATAATGAAACACTTCAAAGCTGTTTTGACAATGTTACTGGCAGGTTAAGCTGTTTTAGCTATCATTTAGCCGCGAACTGACACCTTGGTCAGTTGCCACAGAACAAAGCTAGCTGGCAATGTAGTTGTGAGAAAATAGAGGGAAATGTAATCAGATTCATTTGAGCCTGACTATTTCCTAGTGATAAAACAGCAGTACAGTCCAGTGTAGCCTAATATTCCATCCCTGAGCAGCAGAGCAGTCCAGGCTAACAGACACTATACTCAACACTATACAACTAATAAAATGATCATCACAGCCCACAGCAGTTCAGAACAGCATAGAACAGTGTCCCAGAGTGTTAGGGAAATCCCCAACATTTACGTGAGGTTTGGGCACCACCTGCTGTCTTGACCCGCAAAATTCACGCAAAATTTAGAACATCTATATACTATGGAATGGATAAATAAGTAGAGTGGATAAGGATGTGTGTATATTTAATGTTGATGCTTGGACTATTCAACAGCGAGGTGTGAAAGTGTATGACACTGATTCTTATCCTGCTTTTAGGGACATAGGCGCTATCAGCCCGGCTAGCTCAGTCGGTAGAGCATGAGACTCTTAATCTCAGGGTCGTGGGTTCGAGCCCCACGTTGGGCGTACGTTTTCTCTACCTCACAGAGGGTACAACAGCTAATTCTCACTAACACTGAACATTCTCGTTATTAGGTAATAATAATAAAAATGAATATAGATTTACTAAGTGACTAAATATTTTCAGACCTAACACGGGGTAGGACTTGTTGCATCCCTGCACTATATGTCTTGGTCTAGCAAATATATAAGATAGTAGCAATTTTATATCATCATTGTGAAAAGAAAACACACTATTATACACTTGTGCCCTAGAATGTGAAATTGAATTTATTTTGGCATAGTTAAATAACAAGAGTTCAGTACATGGACATGACATACAGTGAGTCTCAAAAACCATTGTTTTCTCCTTCTTACTTAAATCTCGTTTTTGAAAAACCCCCCTGAAAAATAGGCGAATCTCCACATAACACCGACTGTGACGCAACAGTCGGGATCATTAATATGTACGACTCCAAGAATTTGCATATGCCAGCCCATGTTCAATGCCAGGCGGAACTGCGCAGCCGAAGCATAGCAGTTGCTCAGTGTTTGGATGTACACATGAACACAAAAGTATTTATTAGTTCCTTCATCCGTGCCTCTGAAGAAACAATGGGTTCATTTTATTTTCTCTGGAAATTTCCAAACATTTCACCGACGACTGTTTTCCTCAACTTGGGCCAATACAGAGCTGGCCTCGGATCGAGCTACCAAGCAACACTTTCTGATGTGTAATTGTTCAAGTTCAGACAGGTAATCTTTCTCTCAAAATCGTTCAATACTGTTTATGCATCAGTAAGTCAAGCCAGTGACTAAAATATCAACTTCAACTCGTTTCTTTTAGTAGGATGAAAAAAAAACTTATTTAAATTGTGAATAAATTATATACAGAAAGCGATCAAAGAACAATCTTTCCACAGCGCGAGTTTATCTGGACACTTGCCAAACTCGTTATGAATTCAATGACGCACGTTACACTGCACAACGAACGAAGCTCTTACTGTATTTACACGATCGTGTTTGCATTGGTGAAAGCATAATTAGAGAGAGTGCAGAAACTGCGTTGCAGTGATAAGATCTTCATTCTCGCGATCAACACACTGTCCTCTGCTTGCTCAATGCTCTGTCATCACGGCAACATTGTATGTGATGGGAATAGATCTAAATACTTTAAAAACATCTCACGATTCGTTAATCTCGATAGCTGTAATAGTAAAAACGTATAATAGCTGTAGTAAAATTATTCGAGAGAGTTTCACATGTAACACATAGCTATTTCACATGCAAGCATGTCAGCCAATCACAGCAGAGGCCGGTTACACACAGCAGACACGCCCCTTCAAACAGAGCGTTCAAATCAGAGGCTAAAATCAGGCTAGTAAAAATGTCTTTTATTTATAAATTATGACTATTTTTGATCTAAAAAACATACTAACATTATAAGGGCAACCCAGGACAGTACACATTATAAAATGACACAAGACAAGATCTGTAATTGTACTAACCTTGCACAGCCAACAGAGGACAGTTCAGATAAACATGCAAATAGTCAGGCATTAGCTAAATATTTTCTTTGTAAGAAAAAAATGTTCAGGGTCTGTGTAAAAAGGTTCAGGTTCTTAATAATATTAGTACAGGTGAAACTCAAAAAATTAGAATATCGTCCAAAAGTTCATTTATTTCAGCAATTCAACTTAAAAGGTGAAACTAATAGGCCTATATATTATATAGACGCATGCAAAGTGAGATAGCCTATTTCAAGCCTTTATTTGTTATAATTTTGATGATTATGGCTTGCAGCTTATGAAAACCCCAAATTCAAAATTAGAATATTGTGAAAAGGTTTTCATAGCTGTAAGCCATAATCATCAAAATTATAACAAATAAAGGCTTGAAATATCTCACTTTGCATGTAATGAGTCTATATAATATATTAGTGTCACCTTTTAAGTTGAATTACTGAAATAAATGAACTTTTGCACAATATTCTAATTTTTCGAGTTTCACGTATCTTCATATTATTAATATATTTTTTTTATAAATTATTTATGAATATTGTTTTTTTAACCCTCTATCTGCCTGGTCTTATATCTTGTTGCCTCTATTTGGGCTTTACATTAAAACAAAACAGCATGTCTTTTATTTTATATTGACATGGCAGATTGTAGCAATAATTACAGTGTTCTAACAACAGAGGTTAGCTGAATACATTAATAAATAACAATTGACATTGAACACGTAGATGTAGACACGTAGAGTAGATGTAATGGAGACCAAGTTTCAGTGAAATATTTTCACAATCCTTTGATGTCTTTCTTTACGTCCTTCATTATTTGTGTATTCTGAGTGGCAGTTTCTCTCAGCAGATGATGAGATTATGATATGTGAAAGCATCTGAAATACACAATTGAGTTTAGAGTTACATTGTGTCTCTTCCATTTGATTATGTAAAAACAATTATGTTCATGAAGGCCAAAATTAGCCCTTTACCATGTTAAAAGGAAAAGGTGAT